TGAGATTGTGAAGAAACAAATTAAAGAAAGATTTAAATCTATGATACTGCTAACACAGCTTCAAGCCCAAAATAATTTAAGTAACAACCAAATACTTGACCAATGCATCAAAGTCTGACACCTTATAAAATTAAATCTTTCACACACAAAAACAGAAGTCACTAAAGATACATCCAAACAGGATTCATTGAATAGGAAGTATTAATTTAGCAACTGTTATCTATATACACTTTTATGAAACCATATTGAGAACCATAAACACGTAACCTGTAAGCCTAATCCACTTTATACTTACAGCTTGAAATGTCACCATCCTCTAACAGACTGAAAGTAACTTCACACTGATACCCGAGCTAAAAACAAATTAAATAAAGAAATTACATTAGTTTTATCGACACCTTGCAAAATTGCTTAGGGAGCTGAAAAAATAGAAACAAATTATAACTTAGTAGAATGAACAGTAAAATATGTATTTGTCATTGTTTTGTGAAGGCAAAACTGAAATACTGTTTACATCAGACCAAACAGGTTCTCACTCAGTAGAACAGACTAGCCTATATTTGCATTTATATTAATATTTTATGTCACACTTGATACTACTGTACTAAGATTTAGTTCTAGAGAGATACATATCAGCACATTATAATACACTAAATGTATCTGTGAAGTTCAAAAATAACATCCAATAAAGTAAAAAAATATATATCTGCAAATTACTGAACTTTTAAAAATTAAGGATAAAAAATGCAAACATATAACTACTTCATAATAGCAGAAATGGTGTTAATGATATAACAACTTGGAGCAAAGTTTGAATTAATATTATTCATGGTAAACCTGTTTCACTTACTCGAAAATTAAAGGTATTTGATACTATCATTATGTCTAAATTATTTTTGAAGCTTTCATAATGTATTTAATATTTTTGGTTTGCTTATATTTTACCATAAAACTATACTAGCTATGTTGTCACATAAGGAAATAAAAACATGGTGAAAATTGCCAGTTTTAATAAGAAAACTCTGAATGAAATTCATATGTACCTTTGATTTTAGAAAATGTCCTGAAAATCAAGCGTAAAGATGTTGTTCACAGTAGCAAAGAGTCCCTTGAAGCCAGTGATTGGTAGGTTAGTCAAGATTATTGCCAAATGTCAGCAACTGCCACAATTTCATTGCAAAAATATTTACAGCTCAATAACAGCCCTTATATACACAAGCATATCTTAACTGATTAATTATATAGTCTAAATTTTAAAAAAATTCTAAAGGTTTTGTTATAAAACTAGAAAATTAAGATTAAATAAACATCAACTGTCAAGCATTCCAACATCATTAAAACACTATATCTCTTGGTGATTTGTTGTTACCCTGCATTAAAAATACACAAGTTGAAAATTGTGACCAGATCTTCAGTGTACAGGGATAGGACACACACAATTAATTTTACATCCTTAGGACTTAAACAAACTCCAGAGATATTCTCTAGTTTGGATAAGTAGAATTTGAGACTTTATTATGGGACACTGTGAACCGAATCATCAGAGGTCTAGAATTCTACTTCATCATTAAACACAAGATAAAAATTGAAGAAACAACAACATATAGTTATATCTATATAAATTGAAATTTACTTTTATTCATTTAGTTGGTAAAACCTAGATAAAAATTTGAGGCAACTTTATCTGAAGGGCCATACATCTCTGGCCACATAATCCCTTTTAAATATCCCACATCAAAGACTCTCGGCAAATGTGATTCCAGATTGTCTGGTCCAGATGTAGGCACTTCAAATGATTTATCCTGGAATTCCCAGCCTGAGTAAATACTATTGTATATAAAATTTCTAGCTTTAGGTCACCATTAGTTCTGTGATTCTACTTTGGTAACGTTATTGATGTCTAATGTTGTCCTAGCTTTTTGCTTAATTATCTAATGTTTAGTTCATTTCTTTTTCGTTTTATATTTTCTTGTTGTTAATTGCAACCATTAACTGGAGACATAAATACATTAGCTAAATATGAACTATCTCATTATTTGTACAACTGATTATACCATTTCCAACTTTCTAAAGCTGTTCGTTAAGGATGAGAGACCAGTTCAAGTGATATATTACCTGGTACAATAACTTTCAAGATTTTATTTGAACAGTACAATGTCACTTAACACTGTATCAGATTTATTTTGGGTCACTCTTCAAAAAAGAGATGTTTATCATTGCAAAAGATGGAATTTGACTTCTTATGGGAATCCTCGTAGCATTAGATTGAATTATTTGTATCCAGAGGTCAGGTCGACAAGTGTTATCTCTAGTAGGACCTCATTATTTGATGGATAATAAGGGAAATGCTAGAACTAGCAACCATATTTTAATTGTTTTATGCAGCAAAACCTTTAGCAATAATAAGACAAGATCATTACACTGGTTAGGATGTTGACACAGACTCTTTCATTTTATCTCTAAAGCTTTGCAAGTTCCTCCTGACAGGCTCTGATGCATTTTGTTGGATCAGTCTGAGAGCTGGATTGGCTTACTGTTGCAATGTCGATATTTAGACTAGCATACAGTGTTTGCCATTACTTTATTCACATATGAAAGATTACATAGTTTCAACACATTACAATTAGATTGTTATGGTTTAATTCTAAAAAAGAAAAACTGACACCTTGACTCATAAATGATTACTTTGCTAAAATGACATAATAGTAGAATTATCAATTAAGTCTACCCTGCTAAAAAAGCTATGAATCTGTTCAAAAACAAAACTTGTGCTCTTTTGACCACAAACATAAATGTTAGATCTTTGGGATTCTTCTGGTTTCCTTGATAGGATATCCAGAACAGACAAATCAGCTTATAAGCACCTTTTGTGACAAACATGACCTTTAGCCTTGAGTTTGCAGTTAGATGTATGGTTTGTGTGAAGGGGTCACACAAGTTTTACCTATTGGGTAGATCAATATCATATTTATCGTACTAACTGTGGGTGATGTGGGAATTTTTCAGAGATTGGTTCAAGAGCACTGGAAGTCTCAAACACTTAATTTTTCTTGGCAGATACAATACTTTATCTTCCAAACATAGAAAGATGCTTTACTATCAATGTGCAACTTTTCTTTGTATGTTACTCACTGGGACTTAAATTTTGAACTACATTATTAACATAATAACTGTAATAAAGACCTAAATTGACTACTTTAATCTGTTATGGTAATTTATTATTGGATTTCTTGTGTGGCAGTAGCACGTAATACTTCATAGAGATAAAGTGGAATGGTCCAACATTAGGTAATAATAAAATAGTTTTATTTTGTGGTATTGAACATTGGAGAAATGGAGGTTGTACTTATAAACAAGAACAGAAAGCGAAATTTTATTGATGTGAAACTTAAAAACAATCATTAAAAGCAGATATTACCTGGCAAAAAATATTTAACTGATATGTTAAATTAGATTTTAAGTTGGATATTATGCAATCATCAAACCTTAATCAAGAAGCTAATTATGTTTGGTTTATACACTTTAAACAGTTGGCTACTTACTTTGCAAACCTATGTTTTAGTTTATTGGAATAATACATTTTTGTGTGCCATGTATTTTCCACCCAAGTTTATTAATTTTTTTTCCAATAGGCTTAGATATTAGTATTTATTTTGAATAATTAAAATAATCTCTTTTACATGCAGTAAGTTAAAAAAAAACATGATTATCATTCTTTTACTATAATTTTAATACTGTTGCCAAAGCTTCCATGTATTAATGTCTACCAAAATAATTTTTTGTAGCTACAAGTTCAACAGTTCTATTTACTATACTTAGAGAAATAGAAAAATACATTTATTATTAAACATCAGGGTATTCCTACAAGAGCTTTTATCTGATAATTGACAATTACACAAATGTGTATGATAGATTTATCTTGCACTTAAAATTGTAAAATAAATGAAATTCAGAGTATGACTATGGCTTAAATGCTCTAATCTTTTAAGTGTCTGACATTAAGTAGCATTGTCAGCATGTTGTTAAATAGCATAGATCTTGTATGACTTTTATAATGTAATGTTTCTTAGTTACAAATTAATTGCATAAAAATACATTAATACTTTATAATTTTGGCATTTGCAAAGAATGAGCCTCTCAAATGGTTTCTTGGTAAAAAAATCAAATATTTACATAGCTCTGACCCCATAATCAAGATGACTGGTGATATAGGGGGAGATAAGTGTTTAGAAATGGAATATATTGTACTGATTTTTGAATAAATCCACATAAGGGCTACCTGTACACACCAATCCCTACTTTTGAACTGACAGACTACAGGGAAGTCAGCTAGCCCAGTGTTTCTCAACCATCAGTTCTTGGACAAGTGCCAGTCTTTCACAACCACCTTGTTGACTCCATGGAAAAACTGACTGAATATTTATATGTAAATCACAATGGTTGTACTTGCATTTAAGTGGTCCACAACAGTTTAAGGAGGAAGCAAGCCATTCCCTGGTATTGAAAAGGTTGAAATATGCCAACCTAGTCAATAGTATAGCAACTCTTAGACTAATCATATGAATGAACAGTGGGATTTGACCCTACCGCTATTATAATGCATCTATGATCATAAATCACCGATTGCCCTTTTGTGGCAATGGGATGCAAATAAATAATTTTCAGGTTCACAGTCTGGGCATGATACCCACTAGACCATACCTGGCCAAATAAATGCAATTGTTGAAGAATTTTTTGAAAGTATCTTGAATAACTGTTCGCTGTGTGTATGTGTGTTGTTCTTTATTATTTAATGTGTAGTTTTTAGAATGTACAGAATTTAAGAAAAAAAGTTTAATCTATTTACAGCATATACTGGTTCACAATCATTAAAGGTAGGATTTATAGTTTTAAGCTCTTTCAACTGCTTGAATTTTCAAGGTAATTTTGATTATCCTGAATTTATAATATTTTCCAGAAAATAATAATTTTTACTCAAAAGAAAGAATCTGGGACTGAAGTATATTTTAACATATATCAATTTATTTTTTCCTTTCTCCAAAGACTTATTAAGGAACAGTTCTGTATTTGGGTATCTAAATCATAATGTTAAACACTATACTCATTGTATAAATAACACTGCTCTTGGAATATGCACACATGGTTTGTAATATCACTGATAATACCTGAATATTTGCTACATTTTAATTCAAATTATACTGATTAAATCATACTTACATTTCACCCTTACAGGTAACAGATAAGTTCTATAACAATTTACCTGATAATTATCAAAATTATAACTGCTCTGATAGGTGTTGTTGTTCTGAAGTACAGCTGTTAGAAAGCCAAGTTTGACAGTTCAAATGATGACACCTTAACACTAAACCAATAAACATGGACTAAATCTCTCATAAAACTAAAACAGTTTTGGTATAGTGATGTGTAAGATTAAGTGTTATTTTTGGCATAAAATCTCCATCACAAATGCAGTATAAGATTATATATATACATTCCTAATAACACATCTACTTTTAAATACCATAAAGATGTACAAGCATTGTTTTAGAGCCTAATCTATTTATCATTTGGTTTTTTTTGTGGTTATAGATCATAAAAGCTTTTAATGCTAAGTAAGCTAATTAGCACATCAAAGTACTTCACACAATCACATTATAAAAATAGACACCAGGCCTTATACATTACAGAAAAATGAAATATTAATAACATGTATTTGAAGAGTCTAGGCTAACCAAAACAAACAGAAATTTTTTTATTTATACTAGGTATCATTTCTTCATTGTGTATGGCTGTGATTTTTTAAATAAATATTTAATAAAAATAATTCAGAACTTACATTACAAAACTGATGTCACCTATCATCTAACACATTTTGTTGTGCTTCAGATTTTCTCAAAGTATCGGGCTTTTATAACATTGCAAGTAAAATTGTGACTTGGAATGAATATTTGTTTATCTTATTTTTTAGTCATTCAGTCATTAAAATTCAGAGTACCCATCATATAATACATTTATGATACATGAGATAATGAGACAAGTATATGTAACCCTAATTTTCAAAATATTACAAATTCTGGTACAATGCTAAGAAGCTAAACAAATGAATAGTCATGTTTTGAGCTTTTGTTCTTTAAAATATTTTAAAATGTGCTTCTTTAATCTTTATGCAAATTGGTCATGAGTTCTGTAAAAGAACAAAAAAACATTTATTGATGAGTAGTTGCTTGTTTATATCCATTAAAAGCAATGTTATAGTATAGTCTGCTTAAACTCTGGAATAAATTAATTAATTCATCCCTCTGTATTTAATCATTTCAAAATTATGAAGCCAAATTTATAAAGTACTCATTTAAAAATAATTAAATTTTGATTTCAAGACACAAGAGGTAAAATATTAATTTCGCCACTTTCTTTCAAAATCAATGTTCCAAAGCTATTTGGCTAAACATGACAAGAAGTTAATGAACAATGTTACTGTATGCAATAAGCATTACATAACATACCTGTCAAGTGACCACTTATGGTGTAAACTTGTAACATGCTTCACATTTAAACATATCAAATTCATTCTTAGGTTAATGGTAAATTTGTAAATTATAGTCAACAAAGTTCAAACCTTTTGTTTATTTAAACCAGTAAACTGTTTCTAAGTCTTTGAAAGTATGTTTGAGATTCCAGTTTCATAGAAATTAGCTGAAATATTTGCTAATTTTTACATTCCCTAACCCATGGATTACTTGTTCCAACAACAATAGATAGCTCTGTTGGAAGATTTAGTTAATAATTTAACCAATGGTTGTGTAAATTTATGTCTAGCAACATTTTGTGGTAGAAAATAAACTTGTGAAATGGTCCATTTGGAATAATTTTTCATACAAACTTCCATTTAGAGATAAACCTAAAAAATAAGTTTTAAGTAAGGAGTGTCACACAACAAAAATTACATATATATATATTATTAAAAATTGGAGTTAACCTTATTGGTAGATCTATAATATAGGTACACATTCCTCATAGATATTTCTCACCACATGCATTTAGATTTGACAATATTTACTCTTCATAATTTTTTTTTATATAAAAGATAACTGGAAAAGTAACCTGAATTATTTTTTTAAAACTTAATTAATAAAAAGTAATCAATAAGGCTATGAAAGGTCATAAAGCTGTGACTGAACATTTAAAAAAAATGGATGGATTATAAAGTAGGTTCCTAGAAGTGAGATGGTCACAAGTACAAGGATGGTACTTGGAGCTGAATTGGAAGATATCTAGGAACAAGACCTGATAGATTTTTAATAATGAAGCCTGATGCAGGATCTAGAAATGAGGGTCATGAACACTATAACAATACTTGGAACTGGGATGAATGTTTATGAAGGACAGACTTAAAGTATTTTACAGATGAAGCCTTAAGCACATCTTAGCTCTCAGATAGGCACAAACAGTAAAGTACGTCATGATTTTATCTTTTAAGATGAGAGCCATATAATAGGAAGGATATCACTCAGAAGCACAGAAGAGAAATGGCATTAGGAGTGGTTATTAAGAAAGACAAGACCAGGATGAATGATAAACCAGGAAAGTGCAAAACAGACTAACTATGAATGGATTATAAAAAGAAACAAATGCTTGCAAGTTGATCAATATCACCACATTTGGTCGTTTAAAAGATTCTTCAAGTGAATGAGTTTAAGAGCAAGTTCACATGGAATATTTATATGTATTCTTTCTTAATAACCAATACACTTTAACTCTTGGATTTAAATATTCAAAAGTAGAAAACTAAAGAGAGAATTTGTAGTTTAAGTCTTTACCTTACACATAATGCTAGTTTATAAAATAAGACTAATTTCAAGAATAGATCTCAATCAGCATTTCAGCCATCATGTATTCAAATTTTTTTAACATTAATTTTAGATAGTTAAAACATTTTTAAAAACAGTACTTGAAACTGACAAAAACAGACAAAGATCCATGTCACATAGTGATCACTTATAACTAAAATGCTTACCAGTTTCTAAAGAAGTGGCAATGAAGATATTTAAATAGCTGTACACAGAACAATCAGTGCTAACATAAAAAACACTATGTAAGTAATACCTTTCATACAAATTTGGTGTGAAATTCATGCCTTGGAATTCCAATCCTCAATAATCATCAATGGAATGATTTTTTTTTTTTTTTTACAGTTACACAGAACCAGTTTTATAAACTGTTCATTTTTTTTATATTGAAATTTAATAAACTTCCTATAATATCAAGGAATTACTGAATACACAAATGCCATTTTGGAATCCAGACTGGTGTACCAAATTAACTTACTTTCATAAGTTATTATCAATACTAGGCACATCCTTTCCCTCCTATTCTCACTCATTTCTGTCTTCTTTTCAAAACTGAATAACTGAAATATGGCAATCAACTTTGATGAAAATAATTTCTATACAAGGAAATATCCAATAACCACACTAAACAGAAAAATATTTAGTTTAATGTATTGAGCAGCTTAGCAAAGGAGATCCTAATTCATTTGACAACATTGAAATAATGTCTTTAAAAATACAAAAACAAAAAAAAAACAAGACCAATTTTGTACTATCTTACTACAGGTTAATTTTAAATTTTCTTCACTAACATTAACAATGAACGGATATTTTCAGTATTATTCACACAAAACTTTTATATAAATCCCTCTGTATCACCCTTAACATTGTTCACAAATACACACACACACACACAACAAAAAAATTAAGATTTTCCATCTTCTTTGACAATAGAAATCCCTTGCCTTGAACCAGACAAACCATTGTGTTCATTTACTGGAGTAACAACTTCTCTTGGGACAAAAGTAGTGAACTCATTTGTTTGAGCATCCAAGAATTCAATAGTGTTGAGAAATGTTTTTCCATTGAATCCTCCAACGGCATACAAGTAATCTCCAACAACACAAACACCGACATTAGCTCGACAACTGGTCAAGTTTGGCCCGGGACACCACGAGTTAGTCTGTGGATCATACATTTCTACACTTGAAAGTGAACGAACACCATCATGACCTCCAACTGCATACAGCTTACCTAACACACAAAAGAATGTTCTTTGAGACAGGCCAATTTAAGAAAAACAATATTTGAAGATTACCTAATACAGCTACAGTTCTTAATTTATTTTTTAACAAGAATGAACAAATAATTTATCTACCATTATAAACAGCTACTCCACACCCTCTGCGAGCTTTGTGCATTGAAGAAACTGTTGACCAGGTGTTGGTATAAGGGTCATATTTCTCCACAGAGCCAATACAGTTCCACGAGTCACAACCTCCAACAGCATAAACTTCCCCATTCATAACTCCAACTCCAGCTTGGTAGCGTCCTGAAATATTCACGTTTTAGTTCTTTTGTGATGTATGCTCGTATAAACATAATATTGAGTTGAAATATACCATAATAAGTTAAGACTTAGTTTGTAAGCATTTCTCTCTCACAAATTGCCATTGCAGTGATAATTACATAACAAAGAAAACATCAAATTATATTGTATACTTAAAAATTAAAGCAAACATAGAAACATAAATTACTTGAGATTCTCTCAGTTTAGTGACATCTCTTAAAGCCAAGTCCAAATGGTAAGCAGTTTATCTTTACAGCTTCTTTTGTTGGATTTTCAGATTAACTTTATACTGACCTTTCCTCCAAGTTACAGAAACTTGTTCAATCATATTTTAGTGAAAATTACAAAAATTAACATTTTCCTAAACTGAAAATGTATTTCCAATAGATACTTACCTTCTCTCACAAAAAGCTTTCTTGACTTGTACTGCCCTCTATCGCCACAAATTTTCGCTTGCTACAAGCCTTGCTAATCCCATTTATTACTGCATACTAATATGCAAATAATCATGCAGCAATCCTCCACCAATATGAGTGTGACACAAACCTTATTGTAACTAGCACCCTCTCTAAATCATGTATATGTTAATCACTTAAGAGATTGGTCATTACTAACCAAACCAAATCACAGTGGAAGAGGGAAGGATAGGTGGGAAATGTGAGGAAAATGTTAACTTCCAATAATGATATCTTTCCTCATCTCACAAAAAGTTAGAATCCCACATTGAACTGGAGGAGGGCCAGTGAGAAGAGGACTCCCCTTTAGGAAGCACCCAAAGGAAAACCATGAAATGTAAGAAGGACTTAAAAACAACACACCCTAAGACATTAGTGAGAGTAAGAATAATCCGAGAAAACTGTGAACTGTTTAAAATAATCACAGGTTCCAATCTAAGCCCCCACATGTCCAAAGGGAAGTCCATCCATTGAGATTGTAAATATACCTTTTCCTGGCGGTGATATGCCAAAGTATGTTTTTTCGATAAACTTGGGGAACAAGGCATAGCTATTTCATTGTGAAACTGAGTGGCAAATCTTGCAGTAAGATCAGCAATATCAGGAGAAAGAGAAAAACCAAGTAAACACTTGCCATCCTTTCTGCCAACAAAAGTATAGAGTCAAATGCAAAGGGAGAGACTCTGAAAACCTCACAAACCTGAATAACCAAATGAAGAAATAGGGCTGGAGGTAGCTGATTAAAATAATCCTCTGTTGAGGCTGACCTAGAGAAGAAGGAGCCGGAAAAAAAACCGAGTCTAAATTTTCCCTAACTGGTCCCGGGTCATTTGCAAAAGCCGCCTCAGAACTCTACGGCAACACCCCCTCGGTCTGCACACGTCTCCATATCACAAAGGATCATATCACGGAACAGCTTCGAATAAGAGTGACCCCTCCCCTGGCTGTCGACAAACATCAGATAGCAGATGTGGAAGAGAAGAGGTCTGGTAAGCCTCCGTAGTAGAAACATTAACTCGGGAATTCATGCCCGTTGCTATGGTTGTTTTTTGACAATATAATTTATAAATATAAACGAAAATATAACCATGGTAAGGCCAAACACTTGAAAGTTGCAACTTAAATTGTGAATAATCACAACACTCACGTTTATAGAAACCCATGCTGAATGCTTTGTCAAGAAAAAAGTGATTACAATATTTGAATGAGGTGCTTATATACAGTACCTAGATAGAGGGTGCATTGAAATTGGTGGAAAATTTTGCAAATTAGAACTTGCCAAGGACATTCGAGTGAAGTATAAAAGACTGGAGCAAATGTTTTCAATGCTTAGATGAGCAAAGAGTGGAAACCCTGGAGATTGAGAAATAGCTACAGTATCAGCGGAGGTATGTTTTGGAACTAGCTCTGCTTTTATCTTGATAGTAGATACCATATTATACAAGTGTCTCACCTTCACAAAAGACAACGTAAAACAAATACTGCATACATCAAACAAATTTTTTTGAAACATTTAGATTTTTTAATATACAATTAAAAATGTAATTTGATAGTTTTTAGCAATATATACATTTCATTTCTTTCCCCAACTTGTATGGGTAGGACATGGTACTTAATCCAGGTAATTGTCATGATCAAGCATAAGGTACAAAGCAGAAAATATTATAAACTTCTTTCACAATAAAAATCATGTTACTCATTCACTTACCAACAGACAAATCAGCTATATTTGTCCAGGAACGAGATTTAGGATCATAGACTTCACAATGAGTCAAGCCTCTCTGTCCATTCCAGCCACCAATAACAAATATTTTCCCATCTAAGTAGCACACACCTGCAAAAAGTGTACCGAATATGGAATACAGCTCCATTCCAATAAAACTTAAGTTTAACTAATATGGTCACTTAAAACAAAAACAGAGCAGAATCTTACTACCTAGTGGCAAGCAACTTTTATATTAGATATGCTGACTTATTTCCTCCTCTTTAAGTTGGTTCACTGAGAAATGTTATGCTATTAATTTTCTTTTATAAGTTTCAAGTATATATTCATTTGACATCCAACATTATGCATAAATTACCAGGCCAGTTTGTAAAAAGTAACTACCAGTTTCATTGTGAAGTAACGCCACACAAACTACCAATTTGTAGATCATGTTTCACCAACATAAAATTGTTTTATACCATAGTAGTATCTATACGTAATTTTCACTTCTGTAATTATGTGTAAATTATAAGTAACAATAGACTTACTGGCAGAAATTGCTCAGAATGATTACAAAGCACATAGCAATAAAAATAAGTTACTGTATTAAAGTTTCACTAAAATAACCAATCCCTGGAGTAATGTTCTTGTATTTTTCTCAGTATAAACACCCTTAAAAATTACTTCCATTAAGAACAATTCTATGTTTAAATGTATATTTTTCTCATTTTTTGTTTTAAAAAGTTTTAGCTAATTTATACTTACTAGCATGCTAGAAATGTAAAATGTTGATAATCATTAATATAAATCCAATGTAAGTAATCTAACTATTATAAAATGTCAGCTTCAAACATAAAGAATAAACATTTTAAATTGATGTTATGTTTTATTTAACAGCCCAAATATAGTCTTATGCTATTAGTTTTTCATTCAATAAACCATTTTTTAAAATATTCTTAAGTAATTTTGGAAATGACTTGCAGACCTCTGGAGTACCCTTATGGACCACAGGGAGTTGGAAGACCCTAGTGTTCAATGACATTTGAACAGGTAAAGAAACTGAGTGAAAAGACTGTTTACTAATATAAGTATGTGCATCTGTGAAAGTTTATAAAACTACACACTTGAACCCACATCATGTCTCTGAATCCTGACTATACTAACAGTGAAATTTGCAAAAAGGTTATACTAATTTTTCTGTCCCAGCTTTTAGAATATGACATATCATGGACTTACATTTATCCATAAAGTAAGATAACCATATAGATAGATGATAGAAGCCAAATTTTGTTTTGTAACTTTACACCTTCAAGTGATATAGGCCTTAGTTTTAAGTAGTGCATTAAACTCACAGTAAGCACAAGGAAAGAAGAAAGTTGAAAACCTCTTGTTTTCTTGTAGCTAAACTTGATTAAGTTACCACACCAGTTTAACACTGATAACTGTTATATTTAAGTGTTTTTCATTTCACTATTTATCTACAAAAGCCATTAATTGCTTTACTGAAGAAAGTTTGTTAGATACAGTACTTACACACATAAAAAACTAATAAATGCCAGTTCTTTATTCAAATGTTTTAAAACATTCACTGAGTAATATTTACACTTTCAGTGGAAGATTGAATGATTATCTGTTACTAAAAATCAAGAATTAAAAAATTACCAAAAAGAAATACACAATAAATATCAATAAAACAAATTGACAATATTCTTAAACAATGTACTTTTAGATTTTTGCCAGTACATTCCCATTGCACTAAATACCGATTGCAATGTGTTAGTCTTACAAAAACAATAAAAAATCAAACTTTAAAAATAACAAATTTCTGTTTGTGAAAAACTATATAAGGGATATCTGCACAAGCTGTCCCCAACTTTGAAGCGATGGACAAACTTTTGGGCTACTTTCACCAATAGTGTGATTTGACCATCACTTATGATGCACACGAGTACAAAGTATGAAGCTGTTTTTCATTCTTTTGTTCTTTTTTTTTGCAGCAATAGGACATGAACCATAAATGCTCAGATTTCCAATCTAGCATGCTAACTACTAGGCCACATCTAACCCAGAATAGGGAATAAAATGTTAAATTGTTATTTTTATGTATTAAGAAAGTTCAAAAATATGCACATCAGTGAAAAAAGTTAAGGAAAAGGCAAACACTATAGAAAGCACTATGATTAATTCATGTATAAGGTACTAGATTTTGTTTCAGTACTATTTCATTACAATAATGTGACTATATTCATGAATACTTTGCAGCATAAAATACATTTTGACAGAACAAGTGTTCATTATAAGACATGTCAAAATTCTTTAGAATAGATAAAAATAAGTTCTGTTTATAATTTTAGTCTGTTATGGCATTTTTTATTTCCATTCTTCCTTATGGTACATCATTGTAAACTCGCATACATCATTCGATGAAAGAGAGAAGTTCCTGTGTTGTAAAAACTGATATTCCTTGAAATAAAACTATGATAATTTCTTTATAAAAAAAGTTATTTGTATTTCAAAAGCAAATGATTTTAATCAGAATTATATGGTTCCAGGTGGATATGATAGAGGAGAGTGTTTACGGACTGTTGAGATTTATGACCGTTCCACCAACAAATGGGCCAGAATTGAATCCATGAGAGTACCACGTGGGAGATTTGGCATCACAGTTGTGGATAATGAAGTCTATGCTGTTGGTGGCTCTGATGGAACCAGAGAGCTCAACTCTGTTGAAGTGTTTAACCCCATGACCTCTTGTTGGAAACAGTGTCCACCAATGAGTATTTATCGATCATATGCTGGTGGGTATATATATTTTTAATATTGTACATTCTGATTTTTATATGTATTTGGTATTTAAAGGATTTTATATCTGTAAAACATTATTAACTTCTTGATAATACTTTTATGAGCAATTATTTCTTAAATAAAGAAGTTGTAAAATCAAGTCTGATTCATTTTGCTATTCTAAATTTTTTGGGGTTGGGCAGAACAACTTAAGTCAGCTTAAGGATCCCCAAAATGCAGTTTTAGGAGTTCTGAAGACTCCAAAATTCTGAGATTATATTTAATTCTGTCTTAAAAAAAGCTATAATTACTTTAGAAATGTTAGTTAATTGATACTTTTCACTTATTGTTCAGTTACTGCCATTCAGAAGTGTGAGAAAATTTGTAAACCGGTTTTGCACCTGTAGTAGTGACAAATCAAAACAGCAGTATTTTAAAAACATAGATACTGTACAACACAATTATGAGCTTAAAAAACGTCACTCCAGAAACAAGTAAATGATGTGAAGAAACAAGAAATTACTAGCGAAATGAATAATTTCTTATAAATGATTTAATCTTTCTTATATGAGAAATGTTTTACAGAGATAGATACAAGATTCTACTTATTTATGGGTAATGTTAACAATTCCAGGAGCAAACTATAAGTTTAAAGGTCCTAATTAACTGATTTTAATAGAATGTAAGCTATACCATAATTAAACAACTAATGTTTTATTACACTTTATATAAAAATGCAATGACAGCTGTACTAAATGCTCTAGTAATAACAGAAACAACTGAGCTATCAAAAAAACAAAAACACTTATTCAAGCAAAATAAGAACTATGAAACAACCCACTAATAATCATATCAATGACTGCACATTACTTAACAAAGAACTAATGAATTCTTCATTATTTTCAGTTCCTTAAGTATACTTCAACTTAATAACAAGTGAAAAAGCTTTGCATCTTTCTCCCAAATACTATGCTTTGGCTAGAGCTAAAAACTCCTCTAGTGCGTAACCAAAATCAAATATTGAACGTATTTCAACTTGCCAAGGGGAGAACACGTCAACTTGTACCTGATTGGCTGTTGAGCATATAATAATGACACATCTCTGTGCCCACCAAAACAATGATTCATGCTCATATCGTTGCATGTGATTTACCCTTACAATATTTCTAAACATTTTCTCAGTTAACTGCTACTATTCCACCTAACAAAGATCTTTTGAAAGACCTGGAAACCTTGTGGATCAATAAAAACATTTCAGCCTATAAATTTTTTTGTACAATAACACATTCCCATGGATAAATGATATTTAAAAAAGTAATAGTTTTCAATAATATTAATTGTTGTTGAGGGTGCTTTCATTAGTATCAGTTATCAGAGGGTATGATTATTAAATGTAAAACCTGAACCAGTTTTTAATTTTATTCATTTTAGATCTGAAAAGAAAACCTTTTATCTCAACAGAGTTTTGATTTATGCATTTTCTTTCACTTATGATGCCAATTAGTTTTAATACTGAAAAGTTTTAGTAGGATGCCTGCCATACTTTTAAAAAGTAACATTAATGTCAGTAAAAATTAAGATTTAAATATAGACATAATATTAACATTCACAAACAAATACTAGCAACTAGTAATTGAAACAGAGGCTTGGACGAACTTATTCTTTTGAATTTAAATTTTCAACACATAACAATTCTTGAGTTTTCTACCTTATTCATAGGGAATGGTAGTACAACTATAATGCTACTCAACACTGGTTATGGGCTTTAAAATTTAGATCCTTTCATGACAATGTTTAATGTAGAGGTCTTCTATACTACTACAAATATACATACCACACACTAAAAGTTTGCCTTGAAGGTCGGCTGTTCCAACAGCACAGCGTCCCGATGTCATGGGGGGAATCAAAGTATAGGTGTTTGCCTTCTCTACAGACTCAGGCCGAGATACTGCTGGGCTACTAGAGGGTGTGTTTAGTCTTTGCTTTACAGATAGAACTCTTAGCTTTCCACACACCACTACCAAAGCTAATAATGTATTTTCTGTTCAAAAAAAAAGTTATGTAATTAAGTCTACTATAATTTGTTTCTGCTTTAAGAAAATGAAACACTTGCATGTCTCAAAGTTTTATGGATCATTTCAGAATTTACCATCCTAAAATGTAAGCTAACAAATGTTCCTTTGGTAAAGTTCAATTTTACTTACCATTTAAAGAAAAATTAGATTTTGAATGTTTTTTCAATAATATACAGTTTCAAACAAATATACTTGACACAGCAAAATTACTTACAAGTTATAATTTTCCTAAATGAAAATGTATTTCTGACTGGTATTTCCCTCCGCTCACAAGATTAGCTTTTGTCGTTTTGTGCTGCCCTCTATATGCGAACGTTTTTCAGAAATGCATGCCACAAGCCTTTGTCCTCCCTCTGTTGGGAGTTTAACAGTAAACAAAAAGATTGATGTAGACAAAACAATTTGTATCCATAAAGTATGCATATTGTAATGCTAAATGTACAGGAATTAACCTGTATGCAATTTTTTGTTTTTGCTATGCATATGTGAGAAGCATCACTGAATCACATGTAATTCACCGACTTTTCCCGAGTTTTTGTCTGTAAAATGAAATTCTCTGATGGTTACTGGACCAAGAATGCAAAATATAAATTCAGTGACTTTTCCCAGTGTCTATGACTTTTGTGCTAATTAAACATGCAATATACACGCATGTATATCCCTTTTTTTGCTACTTACTAATACTTAACCAGCTGATTTATAAATTTACAACAAAAACTTACTTCCTGCAGCTGTAGTGGCGACTACTCTCCAATCATGTTCTTCATCATCAGACAGTGAGGACAGAGAAGAAGTAGAATTTGACCTTGTGTATAAAAACTGCCGTGGTTTATGGGATGTGCTCTGATCAGAGCTTTTCTTATTTGTCTTGCAGGGAACAGGTATGCGCCGAGACAACTTCTTGTAATCTTGGATCAAGTCAGAATCTTGAGAGTCACCATTTTTAATGTCATTACAATCATGTAGAGTTCCATCTAGGTTCAAGTATAGCATGTGCACCTAGTTACCACACACAAAATATTTCAATTACAGACGATTTACAAATAGCTGATGAAGGATGAGCAGCTTACGTATATTTGTTTGGTGTTATACCATTTCCCAATGTATTACAAATGTAAAATACAGTTTCTTTGGATGTGCAAAAATAATAATGACAGGAAAAAAATAGTTAAAGACAAAATATGTTTACGCTTTTTATTCATAAACCAGGATAATGCAAAATATTGCATTCATAATAAAAGTAACAGTAAGACATTTTAAGACAAAAAATTACCAAACAATCAAGTGCAATTGAACATTTACAAAAATATTATTGAAACATTTACAGATAAAAGGTTAGAAAAACCTTTGACCATATCTGCTCAATATTAATAATTATCATCAATTTTTTTATAATATATTTACTCTTTAAGAACAGTCAGGCCATAGTGCACTATACAATCTTTTACGTACAGTTTTGTTGCTTATTTGGTTGGAAACTGCAACGGTCTGTCTTGGATGCTAGAAATTTCTGAAGCAGAGAAATAGTTGCTCAGTAGTACCACATGACACAGAAAAATTAAGATTGAGAAGGTTATAGATAATTATTTCTGAATTTAAGAGTTAAAACTTAGATTATAAGATAATATAAAAATTTGAATTATAATCTAAATTTCCATGCTAGGTTTAATAACGTACATGATAATAAGTTTGTTTAGTTAAACTTTGAATGTAACACAATAATTACATGCAAGAATCTAAAATCTGAACCTCCATTTTCTTGATGTGCTAAGAGGTCAATATATTTGTCAAATACATTTACCTTTTTCTGACTTTACAGATTGTTTTACTTGTCAATTTTACATGGCTGATGGGGATGCTTTTAACCAATACAAAAAGTAGATTCTCCTTTACATGAATTCATATCTCATTGTCTCAATTTTTCTGCATAGAATATTCAAAAATCATAATGTTTCTCATTCCACGCTCATTGCTGTGCTAGCAGATTTTTCTAAACTTGTTTATGGATTACAAAGAAAACTGGATTAACTATTGCAGTTTTGGAAGATTCTTTTCTAGTTACTGGTATATTTTGTTTTTTCTAAAATGCATAATTGAAAGCTAGATAATTTTGTTTTCTTCTGGACACCCATATTTGTAAAATTCAATAAGACTTGCAGAAGAATGTCTATCAAGTGAAAACAACTTGAGTGTGCAGTATGTAACACAAATTCTTGTTTTTATGTATATTTTTTAACAAAAGTAACTAAAATAAAAAAAAACAACTAAAAACTTCACAGCTTAGCTTAAAAAATCTCTAATAAACTAAGATATCGCAACTTATATTAATTAGAGAGTATGTTACATTACACCTTACATTCACATGGTGTTCATGTTAGCTCTAAGTTAAAAGGTTAATGGGTCCATTAGCTGTTAAGGTAAGTAACTTGGAACTTTCTGGTCAATAATTCAGTCAGAGGAAATAAATGGCATTGTTCATTGTTTTCATATTCTAAGTGTTTGTTTCATTGTACATTGATGATTTCACTACAATTAGTGAAAGGGTAAACAAAATAAAAGATAAAATAGAAAGTGTTGGCAAAAAACAAATTGTTGTTATTCAATTAGAAGATTCAACAGATTATGTAATTACAATATAAAACTAAGATATATTTCTGTTCCTAGTATAAAAATCAACTTTCACCCTGACTGACTGCGTAAAGACTTAAGAAATTCACAGACAATTCTTTAGTATAAATAAATACTTTATAAAAAAAATAATTTTGTTTACAAGAGGCTTTTAATGCTAACAAAAAGCTTACTAAATGTCATGAAGATTTACTTAATATATTCAAAGTTATAGTATGTATAACTTCACAGACATGTGCTATGTCCCATGGACTGACAATGTTCCTAGTGTAAAAGAAAATCACAATTACTTAAAGGCAAAAATTACCACATACCAAAACAGCAGAATCTCATAATTTACAAACATGTCCAATCGACTTGCCTTATATTTATCTACTGTATATTGCTGAACAATATATTAGCATATAAATATCTAAAATAATAATTATTGCTTCCTTCAATAAAGTTTTACTAAACATCACATAAAAAAAATTTACCACAACCTTTAATGAAATTCTTAAAACCTCTAAATTGTGTTAGAAAGACAAAGTAACAGTTCCAAAAATAAAAGAAATGTGGAGAAATAAACAAAACCTATTACTGTTCAATTACGTTAGTAACTTCAAACAAATTTACTAAAAATTTACAGTTGATATTTTAACTTTCAGTCTTAGCAAAAAAAAAAATTATTATTATTTTGATATACCAACCTTCTCAGTAACACCATTTATATCATGTTCATCAAAACACTTTTTTATCCAATCCAACACCATTTCACAGAGATGTCTCTGGTTAGTTGCTTGCATTTCTTCAAAACTATTTTGCAATTGCTCAACCTGGATGTGAGGAAGGCTCAGAAATACTTTTTTCTGTATAATGTCACCTATGTTTTGTCTGATGTAATTGTCCACAGCTGCAATAAACTCTGGATCTGTGACTGGAGACAAACCAGGAATGGAACGGACATCTACAAAATATAAATTCTGTTAAGTCAAAATCATGACATTGATGAAAACTTGCTACTTTAAAATTCACAATAATTTACTGTCAGTTTTGTCACAATTCCAATACAATTATGATAAAAACAAATAAATTTCTTTGGATATCAAACAGACTTCAACCAATTCTAGCTTACTAACCAAGGAAGAAGAAAGAGAAATCATAAAAGAAAATTGTCTACATAACCAAACAAATAACATAGATTTAAGATTATGCATTTAGAAAATTGGATAAAAACTGCAAACTAGCTTTTTTATATATTAAGTGGTATAATGTAATGATATCAGAAAAATACAACTTATTTGTTGACAATATACTCAAGGCAAACAAATCAGAAATTCTAGTACAATTTTACAAAATACAAACAAAAACTGAGCATTGTTTGATGTTTCTTATTACATACTTTGAACTCATTATATAAATTACTTCTCTATAGCTTTATGTTCATAGTTTTCCAACATTATTTACAAAACCTCACCTATACAGTTTTCTGCTGTAAGGTGTTTTATTAAGAAGCTACGGCATTGTCCAGCTGCGGAAGTCATCCTTAGTTTAGTGGCTGCTACATAAGCTTGTTTGACTTTGTCAGCAGATACCACCAACCTAAATAGTATGTGTTAACGAGTTTCAAAAAGTGGTTCCATAACACAATACGGTTAAAATGGCCTTTCCATAATTTTGGAAAATAATTGATAATTGTCAGGATTATTTTATTCCAAAGAGTTTTATTTTAATAGAGATATACGATCCTAATGATATAATTCATAACAGCACATGACCATCATCGTTTAAATGTACTGTTTTACAGTTTGAGGGTCACAATTTTTATAAACAAAGCTAATGATATTACATTCAGTAGGGAAGATAGTAACTTATATATTACAATTATACATTGAATGAGTAAGCTCAACTTAAAGTTTTCATTTTCTTTAGCTGAAAATGTATTTCAGAAAGGTTTTCACTTCTAAACAGAACCAAGAGCTATTATCATGAGCCAGTGAGAAGATTTTTGCACATGCACCAAGCCTTGAATGAAACTCCCACCCTACACATGTTAATGTGCACTGTGCTACTGCTACAAGCGACATTAAACTATTGGGAGGGAAGAATGGGTAATTCTGTGGAGCAGTTTCTATCTGCAATACATTTTCAAGTAAAGAGAATGTTAACTGCAGACATTTTACTCACCTCCCTACAGAAAATTCTGTGAATATAGTGACAAAAAGGGAAAACTCATGGAGCATGTCACTTACTCCATGAGGAGGGGTTGAATGATAGTGGAACATCACTCGGTAGGAACTAGTCACTTGGTGCACAATGGCAATAGCATCATTGACTACAAGAATGCCTTTAGTCACCATTGAAATGACAGAAATGTTAGTACTTTGGGAAATGTCAAAATGTGGATACATGAAGTCATAGTTAAGCCAATCCACAAAACTGTTTAATGTTTTTAGGTAAGTATGGTAGGTCTATTATACACAGGTCTTGAGCATTGATGTAATGACAAAAGTTTAGATTAACTATCAACACCCAAAACTAAGTGAATAATAATGGAAAATAATCCTGTCAAAGAAACTATATCACAAACTAGTAACTAAAGAAAAAAAAACCAAATTAATGGAGTAAAAAAGAAATATCAAATCAGAAATTAAAAATTTTGTATCTTTCTGTCTCAAAATCAAGCAAATAAAGGGAAGATAAAAAAATTTATACAAGTATATCATTATACATTGGTAAAAAGTTCAGGCAGTTGTAACAACTCCATTTTTGTTTCATTAAAAAAATAACCACGTATAAAAAGTATAATTAGAAGGATAGATACCAAGCCTGGAACAAAACTCCCCCTCCCCTACATATAGTAATGTGTATTTTGCTAGTCTGTGATGCAATTAGCATTATATTATATATAGCCCTCCATCAATAGGAAGGAAATACATCCTACATGCACAGTACTCCCCTTGAGCACACTGTGTAAACCAAAGACTCATTATTTCCTTGGCACTGCTTAGCTTCAAACATTTTTTTTATTACTAATTATAGAATGTTTGCATTTATTCTTTTTAATTTTTGGTTCTCATTTGAAGCTATAATGATAATTATTACTCTCCCTTTCTGAGTGTAATATCTACCTAGAAGTTTAATTTAGGGATGACAAACATTACAACTATTGTTTCATGGTTAAATAAACAGTGTGGTTATAAGTAACACAAACAAACTCTACTTTTATGCTTGGGTGAAGGAATTCCTCAGGATACTTATAACTTTATAAAAAGTTTTGATTTAACTATCAAAGAAGTATGAGAGCTGACTGCAAATTTAGGAGTTACAAATTGGCTTCACAGCAACATGGAATTCAATCACTAATTTTTGCATATATTGTGTTTGAAGAGAGAGAGATTATAATCGGTAATCAAAATATGAAAGCAAGTGCAAGTTGGTGGCTGAAAGAAAACAAAAACTTTATTGATGAAATAAGTATATGGCTAAGTGACTAATGAATGAGAAGTCAAATCAGGTATTGAAAAATTCATCTAAGCCAGGAAGAAATGGTAGGTTGAGAACTTTAATTGACTGTAACTGCCTGTTGAAATAAAAGATGGTGTTTTAGCTTCTACTGTAAGAATAAGTATAGAAGCTGAAATGTCATCTCCTTTTATTTCAACAGGCAGATGTAGTCAATCAAAATTCTCAAACCTACTATGTCTACTCTGCCTAAAATGCTACTGAAACAAAGGGAAAATGATGCTGAATTACTATTAAATTTAGTCTAATTTCATTGTTCCTTATGCATATCATGTGCTTTTATTTAGCAGGAGAGTTTATTTGTTTTGTCATAGTAGGAAATATTCAAAGTTGCACTTTCTTGGACTAAAGAGGAGATGGAAATATATATATAGCTTAGAAACTAATGAAAGAAATTAGTATCTGACAATGATGACAATAATGCTCTCATATGTTTGGGTATTGGGAATCCTGGGTTAATTTGGGCTAGAATCTTTGTGTAGCCTAGATATTTTTTACTGTAAATCTAGTTTTCATATTCTTCACATTTTTAAGCATTTGGTTATAATTCTGTTAAATAGTTTTATAGGTGTAATTACTTAACCAAATGTGCACAGGATCGGTCCAATGGACCAACCTCATATTGGAGAAGAAATGTTGATATAATTCCAATTTTTATCAAGTGTATCCACATAAAACCAGATACGGTATACAGGGATACTGAAAAAACTGTAGATATGTATTTTAGAAGTTGTGCAAATACAATATGCAAACTGTACAGTGGAAAAAAGTATTTTTATTCTTCATGTGAACATTATGTTAAACTCCAACTTGTTGGAGTCTGAGTCACACTGTTGTATCACTGTTGTAGATGTATCTTGAGTACAAATACTTTTATGACACATCTGATTTTTTGTGTACAACAGACTTGTACATTTTACTAAAAGTTTGACACATATTTACTCTCCACTACCACAAACTGTTGTTAACTGAGTAACATAGGGTAAAATTAATAGTTGATAACTCTGATATCAAATATATAATCCATGTGAACATACTCTGTAAAAGGTTGTGCCATGTGCACTTTGACACTCACCTGTGCACATAGGGTTAATTCATTATTGTCATGATATAAAGCTATTTAGTGTACATATTATTGATTCATTTATTTTGTGAGTGAATATTTTATGCTTGTTTAGCTTTTTGTTACATTAAGAGAATTAAAAGCAGACTTGATGTCGAGAATATAGAGATTTCTAGAAGGCAGGCGGACAATTAAGTGATAAACATATAAATAGTGTGAGACAAATGGAAACAGCAGACAGACAGACAGAGCAAACGAGAGATCAGAGAACAGGAAGTAGAAGTGTGGCCAAAGGAAAGGTTAGAAAATGTAAAGTTAACTATTGTAGGAGTGAATAGCCTAACGGTTGATATGTTAAAGTGAGATCAACAGTCTTATGACATTTTAGAAGAATATCTCGTCTCATCAAACGGTGTTCTAAAACAATTGAACCTGCCTGTGTGGACTTTGACAAAAAGCAGAAGATTATTGGAAGATCTGGATACAAATGCAGTAACTCAATGAGGCAGAGTAAGTGAATTACACACAGAATACTAGTGTAATAATAATAGAGAAAGGTAATTTGGCTTGTCAGCTGAAATTCTAAAGCAAATGAATAGGCCTAAGTGGACGTTTGACAACAAGAAGAGAACTATATATATATATATAGTGTTTATGATATGCCTATAATCTCTGTAGT